TCTCAATCAGGAGTACTATTGACCCCCAGAAGATGTTTAGAAATGTCTGGAAACATTTTCATTATCACAGCTGGGGGTAGTGGTAGTAATGTTACTGGGATCTAGTGGGTAGAAGCCAGGAATGCTGCCAAACCTCCAACAGTGCACAGGATAGCCCCCACAACAAAGAGTTAAGATGATAATTGAGGTTGAGAAACCCTGCTTTATACCATCTCACCTCTTTAGGAAAGGCAAACCTAAGAGCAACATTGGGGTAGCATTCCTCGCAGTGTTTGGGCTTTGGGAGAAAAAAAAAAGAATCACAGTCATACCATATTTCGAGATTCTTAAGTGGTTCAGCAGTGTGTTACCAGTTTTTAGACTCCAACAGGCCCCCCCCACACACACACATTCTTACAGGCTAACACTGAGGTTGAATATTTGTAATATTAAATAATGTTCCTACTAACCCTGACAGTGAAATCAAAGAACGGTCTTTTGAGAGAGAAATTCCCTGGTGACAGCGTCATGACATTGGTGGTGACTACCAGCATATCTAAGCTTCCTTTAAATTATTTTGAGCTAATTATATCTGAATTTTTTTGAAATATTTTATATTGTTAGTCTATATTGGTTCCTGGGATATGGAATTACATTAATTTCCCATCGATTATTATAAGTAATACTATATCCTATGTATGCTCTGGTAGCATAGTGCCTAAGGCACTTGACTGCTAACCAGAAGGCTGGTGGTTCAAACCCACCAGCCACTCCTCGGAAGGAAGTTTGGGCAATCTACTTCCATAGTGATACTGCCCCGGAAACCCAAGGAGGGGTCGCTATGAGTCGGGGCCGACTCCATGGCACATAACAACAACAACATGCTTTATAAGTTTTGTGTATTACTTGTTTATAACCCCTCTCACTCATTGCGTTTCAAGACTGAAGACGACTGTATTAGTTTTCTAGGGTTGCCATAACAAATACCATAAACTAGAGGACTTACAGGACAGAAATTTATTTCTGTCTTTCAGTTCTGGAGGCAAGAAATCGTGATTAGGATCTTAGTAGGGCCATCCTTCTCTGAAGGTTCTTGGAGAATATTCTTTTTTATTTCTCCCAATTTCTGGTAGCCCCAGACATTCCTTGACTTGTAACTACAAGTTAATTGTCATCACATAGTGTTCTTCTCTCTTTGTCTCTGTACCTCTTCTCTTTTTATAAGGATGCCACTCATATTGGATTAGGACCCGTCCTACTCCAGTATGCCTCATGTTAACCAGTAGCATCTTCAAAGACTACTTCCAAACAAGATCACGTTTCCCCAGTACCAAGGGCGTCTTATATATGTAGTGCTGCTCTAACAGAAATACCATAAGTGGATGGCTTTAACAAACAAAATGTATTCTTTCACAGTTTAGGATGCTGCCAGTCCATATTCAGGGCACTGACATTTAGGAGAAAGCTTTCTCTCTTTTGGCTCTGGGGAAAGGTCCTTGCCTCCTTTCAATATTTGTGGGCCCAGTGTCTCTTAGAGATCTACATGTGCTTTAGCATCACTCTTCACTTGGGTCTAGGAGGTTTATTCTCAGCTTAGAGACCCTGGGTCCACAGGATATGCTCCACTCCTGGCTCTTCTTTCTGGGGTAGTCAGGTCCCTCCTCTCCTTACTTCTCTCTCCTTTTATCTCTTGTAAGATAAAAAGTGATGCAGGCCACATCCCCAGCGAACACCACTTAATCAGATCAGGGCTGTGACCTGAATAAATGTTTTGTGTCCCACTGTAATTCCCTTAGGAGCTCTGGTGGCGTAGTGCCTAAGGCATTTGACTGCTAACCAGAAGGCTGGTGGTTCAAACCTACCAGCCACTCTGCAGAAGGAAAGCTGGGCAATCTACTTCTGTAAAGATTTACTGCCTCAGAAACCCAAAGGGGGTCGCTATGAGTCAGAGTCGACTTGATGAGTTTGGTTTTGGTGAGTAATCCCCTTACAAAAGATTGGCTGATCACATCAAATCACATCCTGAAGGATTATTACATCATTACATAATTGACACATTACATCATTGCATAACTGCCAAACCACTGAGAATCATAGCCTAGCGAGTTGACATATATATTTTGGGGACACCATTCAACCCATAATAAAAGGTTAGAACTTCATCATATCTTTTGAGGGAGACACAATTCAATCCATAACAACTACTAATCTCTTTACTCTGTACTCTGTCTCAGATGCTATTTTCCTCTTGTTCCCAGCCCACCATTCTGATCATTTTAGTTGTTAAGATTTTAAAAAAAGTATCTCTAACAGCGTCATACTAGTATATGTATGGGGTTGTGTTCCCCCCACCCCCCAAAATAGGGCTGTGTCTTCTCTCCCTGAGGCAGCAATGTTCTCATTTGGAGTAAATGCTTCAAGCATACCAACGTATATATAATGAGAATCTCATACAGAGACCAGAGAGAGAAAAGGACAAAAAGAATATTTGAATAAAGAATGGCCAAAAATGTGACAAATTTGATTAAAAACATTAATGTACAATTGTTGTAGCTCAGTATGTATACTCAAGGTAGGAAGAATTCACAGAGATACACAGCTAGCCACATTATAATCAAAAGAAAAGGGAATATCTGGAAAGCTCCAAGAGAGAAGCAACTCATCATGTATAAGGTCTCCTCAGTAATAGTAACAACTAATTGCTCATCAGAAACCATGGAGATCAGAAGGCAGTGGGATAACGTAGTCTAAAATGTAGAAAGACTGTCCACCAAGAATTCTATGTCCAACAAAACTATCCTTCAAAAATGAAAGAGAAATTAAGTTGTTCTCAAATAAACAAAAATGGAGAGAATTTGTTGCTAGGCCTACTCTACAAGAATTACTGAATGTGTATTTCTTAAAGCTGAGTTAAAAGGATGCTAATCAGTAAGTCAAATCTGTATAAAGAATAACATTAATAAAGAGCACTGGTAAAGGTAAATGTAAGTATAATTGTTGTTGTTTGTAACAAACTTTTTTTTCAGAAAGAAGAGTAGGGAATACTTCTCAATTGTTCTGTGACTAGTATTACCTTCATAACAAAACCAGATGACATTGCAAGAAAAGAAAACTACCAAGAAATATCCCTTAGGAATACAGATGCAAAAACTCAATAAGTACTAGCAAACCAAAGTCAGCAGGATAAAAAGAATTAGATACCATGATGTATTGGGATTTATCCCAGGCATATGAAGCTGTTTCAACATACAAAAAGCAATTCATACACCATTTTAATAAAAGAAAGGACAGAAACCACATGTTTATCTCAATAGATGCAGAAAACATTGACAAAAGCCAACATTCTTTCATGATAAACATCCTCAAACTAGCAATAGAAGAAGACATCCTCAACCTGATAAAAGCATCTATAAAAAGCCTACTGCTAATATATTTAATGATGAAAGATTTAAAGCTGTGCATCTAAAATCAGGAACAAAGCAAGAATATCCTTTCCCACCACTTCTGTTCACTGGAGGTTTAGCCTGGGAAGCTAGGGAGAAAATAAAAAAAGTCATCGAGATTGGAAAGGAAATGTTCAAGCCATATTTATTTGACTGAAGGAAAGAATGAGAAACAACCTGTGGACATTAACATTTCTACTTAAGAATCTTAAGATAAATACTTCTATTCCACAAAATATATTTTTTAAAAGTTAAATAAGATTGGTCCCAAATTATCCCCCAAGAAGCTCCATTATTGACATTTTATGTTGCTGAAAAAAATTCCACATTTCTCTTAACCTTTTTTCCTCTGCCTAAGCCGTTTCTTCCTCTTGACAAAATGGTTGACCTAATCACATAGCTATTCCATTTTATGAATATACTTAAACATATATTATATGATTTGGGACTAGGACATACATTTTCTTGGCAATTATGTTCCTACTAATGTTGTTAAAATTATATTCCACTAGGAGAAGCACACTGGAAGCATGCGAAAGAAAGATCAATGAAAATTGGACTTGATTTCAAAGAGCTAATAATAGATATCAGCTTTGATATGCACCTACTCCTCACTTATTGACTATCTTATTATCCAGCATTTTGTGTTTATGACAGTAGTAAAAAGTCTACTATCTGTTCTGTTTAACGACACACATCTGGCAGTAATGAACAACCAAGATGTGAAGTGAAAATAACTCTGGCTATGATGGTTAAGGTTTTGTGTCAGCTTGGCTGGGCCATGATTCTCACAGGTTATGTAATGATGTGATTGGCAGTCATGTAATAATGCAGTCATTATCCCATTTTGTGATCTGATGTGATCACCATCCATTTTCACATAATGCCAATTTTCACATAACAACCGCGTCTTTGGAACAGAACCTTGTTGATAGGTGAAGAGTGGGTGTATCTGCTGTATGATATATAATATAGATATATTATGTATATATCTATATTTTTATATATATATATATATTATATAGAGATATATCAGCTTTGTTAATCAGTTTCTTGGTAATATTGGTAGATGATTTGCTCCCTAGGGAGTTGAAAATTAGTATTCTTGATTATTTTTCAAAATCTGCTCATTCGTATTTGACTAGTCACTTTCTTGACAATTTAATAAAAAAAACTTGACAGTAGTGCATAATGGGTCTCATAGTTCATACACTATAAAACAAAACATAAATTGTACTAAGTTTTGCCTTTTAAATTTTGAAAAAATGGGATCATTCTTCTAAGTGAGAGTTTGGCTTAGATGCATATGCCATAAGTGTAGGAATGATTATTTTTATTATTGATGATAAATTTATTTTGTTTTTATTCAGAATGATGGCAGTTTTAGTACTTTAGGTGGAATTCGAACTTTTCAGCTTCAGAACTGGAAGCAGAAAGCTATTCGAACTAAGAAAGCAGAATTCATACGCACAGCTGAAAAATTTAAAAATCAGTAAGTATAAAAACATATCTTCAAATGATATAATTAGCCACTTTATGGACCATATAAAATTAATTTTGCTCTACCTCCTCAGTCCTACATTAAATTTTACAGTTCTAGTCACTAGGTTATTGAAGAATGAAACCTGTGAGCACCGGAACTTGAAGGGGACTGCCTTTGTTTTCTGGGTCTGACAGGTTTTCCACTCTTTGACAGAGTACAGACCACTTTTCTGTCACTCTCTATTAAGAATCCTATTTCATAAACACCCAGTCAGTTTTCCTAGGTTCCAGATATCACAGGTTTTACTGTATAAAATCAGGGGAAAATAGGGGGTGTGAAAGGGACAGATACACTAGTATATACTAGTGGCTGCTGAGTGGCACAAATGGGTAAGCGCTTAACTATTAGCTGAAAGGGGATGGTGTGGATCCATCCAGAAGTGCCTCAGTAAAAAGTCCTAGCAGTTGGCTTCCAAACGTCACAATCGTGAAAATGCTGTGGAGCCATTCTGCTCTGCACACGTTGGGCTGCCGTGGATCACAATTGACTCAACAGTAACTAACAACAATATAAAGTTCAGTTTAAGCAGCGTTATTTCAATCTGATTTATTTTTACCAATTTGAATCAGTTATTTCAAGCAAAACAAAACAGCTGTTTCTTCAGATCTCATATTAAATATTAGATTGAATGCATTTTTTACTTTTCAAATGTAGGTAATCCCTTGGTAATGTTTTTGAGTGAACAGTTTCAATGAAAAGTCTGTGTCTTTGGGTTATATTTTTGCAATGGCCTTTTAGTCTCCTTCCCTCAGTTTGTTCTCCACTCGAATTCATCTTGCACATTATGTCCAAGATAATTGAGAAGTTAATTTTTAATGAATATGTATTTTTTCTTTAAATAACCAATAATATTTATTGAATGAGGAATGATAAAAAAAGACTGGAACTCAGAGCATGCCACCTTACCCTTTAGTTGAGAGCTTTTATTAAAAATATTGCTTTGAATTTATACAGTATTGATTTTCCGAAGAACTCAAGAGAGAAGGAGGCTGTTGTAAGAAATGGACTATGGTTGGAAATTAGTGGCAGTTCTGTGTTTAGACATTCCCCCAGTACAAAAGCATCCTGTTTGAATTTTGAAAAATTATTCTGTAATTGAGTTTTCACTGCATGTATATAATACTCACATCTTTAATATTTAGAATTTACAAACATACAGTTATATATTTTGATTTCCAAAGTGCCTTGCCATAGATAGAATTGAACTGCAAATTAGGAGTCCTAGTTTCTGTTTTTCTCCAAGTGGAATAATGCCCACCAAATAGTTAATGTCCATAGATATCAGCAAGCTAGTGGGTATGTCAGTATAGACACTTTGTCTCCCATAGTGACAGTTTTATAGTTCTGAGTAGGATTTCTTCATCTCTTACAGAGTAGTGGAAAAATTCACTGAAAAGAGTACTAGAAAAACCCATTGGAAGAGTGTTACTTCTTTCCAACAATTCTCATTGACTACAAAGAATAAAAAAGCACAATTTGTAATATAGATATTTTAGAAGAGGAAGCAAGGGGAGAATAGAGATATGAAACGAACTTCAGTCTGTATGTCAACTCTGATAGACTGAGAGTGACTGCTGAAGTCCTTGTTGAGGAATGAGAAGCGAGCACATCTAGGCTCTGGTTGGGGTAGGGAAATTAACACGATCAATAGTAATGTCTGCCATGGACACAGGATATGCATGACAGCAAGAAAGTTATGCGCTGCCGCTGCTGGCAGAGTAACAAGCACAGAATTAGAAATATTATTAATGGAGACAAATTAAGTGTAATATTTAAAAAGCATATTTGGGTGAAAGGTGAGATTGGCCCAGGCCACATGTGGCTGCTGCAAGGCTAAGGGAATCATATCTTAGCAAGCTCTTGGTGGGTTTGAACCTCCAGTCTTCTGGTTAGCAGTCAGATGCCTTAGGCACTATGCCACCAGAGCTCCCAGAGATACTCCACCTCTCAGTAAATCTAAGATTAGTGAAGAATTCGAGTATTTATATTAATTTCTGTCTTCTGGGAGAAAGAAAACAAGTGCTGTGGAAATTCATTTCTTTTCCCAACCAAAGAACTTCCTTGATAGTGATTTCTTGTTTTACCCCAGGGTTCAAAGTAGCAATTAGAGTTCCTTGTTAGCAGACTGAATAAACTCCAAAAGAGCAAAGATAAGATGAAAGAAGCTTTGAATTAAATACAGAAGATATCCCTTAAATATACTAAATTTCCTGTCTTTGTACATTTTTTCTCTCTCAAAATTTTTGTTTAGTTAATAATACTAATAGCTTGTATTTCTGTATGGATTTTTCTTTTTTGCTGTATATAGATTTCTCATATACATTATATCATTTGATATTAATAACAGCCTCATTAGGTAGTACATAATGATGATTATTCACATTTTTGTGATGAGGACATTCACACTGGAAGAGATTAAACATCTTGAGAAGGTTACAGAGTTAACAGTTATCTACAATTGAGAGCAATCATTAGCAGTGACAACTGTTTTCCAGCCATAGGAATATTAAGTTGTAACCCATAGTCTTATATATTTTCAGGGCAATCTATGATTCTGTTTTCTTAAACTAACATTTTTTATTTTAAATAATTCAAATTACATATAATTTTAGTTGAACTTCATTTTTGTAATGAATATTTTGACTCCTTAGCCTTATTAATACAAGCAATTGTATTTTGACTCATTACGTGAATTGACCAAATATAAAGTAGTGATTATTATTATTGTCTTCATACTTTAAATAATGTAAAAATATACTTATACCATGTATTTCTTTTCCTGAAGGGTTACTAACTTAGAAAAAGAGAAACACAGTCATTTCTACAACCAAAAGAATGACTTCAAAATTGAGCATAGTGTGCTTGAAGAATTGGAAAATAAATTGATTATCAGCAGGAAAACAGAAAGTAAGTTGAGTTTGTGATGAACTAAAAATCTGTTGAGTCATATAAGGTTATAGTCTTGCTTTTGTGCTTCGTCTTTGTGTATTGATTGTGTTTGTGTATTGTACTGACTTTGTCTAGGTGATCATAAATTTGTCTTTAGGAGTGTTTTTTGGAAGCCCTAAGTGATACAGATAGTTTACAGCTCTGGGCTTTTGACTGAAAGGTTGGCAGTTCAAGCTTGCCTAGAGGCTTCTCAGAAGAAAGGCCTGGCAATCTACTTTTGAAAACAATTAGCCATTGAAAACCCTAGTGAGCACAGTTCTACTCTGACACATATAGGGTCACCATGAGTTGAAATTGACTCTGGCAACTCTGTGTGTGTGTGTGTGTGTGTAAGTTTTTCAGGTCACAATTTAGTTACTCTATTAGATTGTTTTCTATGTATATTTCTTCCAGTTTAATAGGAAAAAGAGGATTTTGTGTTTTGGTTGGCAAACAGTTAATGGTATTGACATTTCTTTAAGAAGAATTGATTTTAAGCTGTTATTAACTAATCAATCCGGCATTGTTGACTGAACCCTGGACTAAGTAAATATCAGTGGGTCTATAGAATCTATATTTGGTGGTACAAAGTGATCAAGTCACATAATTGCTTAAACTTGAATTTTCTTGTCCATGATAAAAAATTACCGTATTTATCTCAGGAAAGCAGTATTGTACATCCAATTAGATAATTCATGAGAAAATATTTTATAGATTATATAGCTTATGTGTTCTGTTGTTTATTTTTATGAATATTAATCACTGTCAACAGTGCTAAATGTTGGCCTTAAGAATTATGTGAGAATACCTTGTTTCATTGTAGAATTAAATGTCTGTTGCAAAATCCTTATGTTACAATAACAAACTACTTAGAAATGCTTTAAGATCAACTAAATAAGCTTTTTGAAACTTATTATGTAGAGATTATTTTATTTAGGATACCCTTTAAAACCAATTAAAAGAGGTTTCCTATTTTTTTTTTTCCCCCCAGGTTGTAAGATTGCATTATTTTAAAATCATCTTTTAATTGTCAGGTAGACTCACCCAGGTAGAATTCATACTACATTCTGCTATCATTATGACACTTGTATGTAAACTTAATATGAATTAAAAATCTCACAGAAATTCTAGAACAATCAACCATACAAGATCAAAAAGGCACTGTTTGCTCAGGGATACAGCTCAGGAGACATGAAAGGATAGGAAAGAAGAAGAAAGGGAAATGGTAAACACAGGGAGGAAGTGGGAAGAGTTGTTACATTGTAGGGATTGCAGTGAATGTCACAAAACAAAATGTGTATGAATTTTTTAATAGAAAACCAATTTGCTCTGTAAACTTTAACCCAAATCACAATTTAAAAAAAAAAAAGAGAGAGAGAAACTTAATATGAATTCAAAATTTCTAGTTCTATACACTCTTTGGTTCATAGAAAAATCTGTTGTTGTTGTTATGTGCCATAGAGTCGGACCTGACTCATAGCGACCCCTCCTTGGATTTCCAAGGCAGTATCACTATGGAAGTAGATTGCCCAACCTTCCTTCCGAAGAGTGGCTGGTGGATTTGAACCACCAGCCTTCTGGTTAGCAGTCAAGTGCCCTAGGCACTATGCTACCAGAGATATCCTTAATTTAATACTTCCTAATTTAGGAGCTCTGGTAGCATAGTGCCTAAGGCACTTGACTGCTAACCAGAAGGCTGGCGGTTCAAACCCACCAGCTACTCCTTGGAAGGAAGATGGGGCAATCTACTTCATAGTGATACTGCCTGGGAAACCTAAGGAGGGGTTGCTATGAGTCAGGGTTAACTCGATGGCACGTAACAACAACAACAATTTTCCTCAGTTCTTTTGTAAATAGCTGGCAAAAGGCTGACTTTACTTTTAGTCGTGAGATTTAGGAGTGTGTCTCCATTTAGCACAGTTTTAGGTTATTTGATTTGCCCATTTTTAAGGTACCTTTGTTATTACCTTTTTATTTCCCTCTGTTCTACAGCTTAGGAGCTCTGGTAGTGTAGTGCCTAAGACATTTGACTGCTAACTAGAAGGCTAGTGGTTCAAACCCACCAGCCACTCCTCGGAAGGAAGATTGGGCAATCTACTTCCATAGTGATACCGCCTCGGAAACCCAAGGTGGGGTCACTACGAGTCAGATCCTACTCGATGGCAATGAGTTTTTAGTTTGAGTTCTACAGCTTAGCCTCCTTCTATTAGCACTTAGTATTTGTCTTATCTAGGAGATGAAAGAATCTGTTAGTATAAGGACATATATATTTCCCCCTTTACAAATAGTAAAATCATAATGCCACAATATTAGCCTACATTTATGTAATATTGTACTTACATTATTTGCCTATATACAGTGTCAGTTCCAAATATATAACTAAAATTAAAAAGATTGCTATATTTTTACACAAATAACATGTGCCTTCTATATTAGTTTGCCAATTGCACCCTTCCCCTGTGTTTGTAAACACATGTTGCTGATTTTTGTTAAAGCAACATGTAAAAAATAAATAAATAAAACTGGCACAGCAGTGCCAAAATAGAGATATTTGCCCTATTGTTTTACCACTGTAGCTCATCAAACTTTGGCAAAAACGAAACAACAAAAACATTTTCCTAATTAGTTAACTTTACTAGAAAAATGTCTTGACCTAAAGTTCCAACAGTGACTTGCAGTCCTCTATGCTGGAGGTAAAGTTTTTACTTTAATAAATAATAGAACAAACCAAAGTTCAGAGGTCCCAGCCTATAGGTAAACTTTTAAAAAAACATTTCTTTTAGGAACTTTTGGACAGAGCAGTTTTGTTCTCTATTGTTATTAGTGAAACAAAAAAGTTGCAAAAATGAAAAAGGGGGTGCATGAATTAAGAAATCAAAGGTGAGAAAATAATACCATTACACGCATTCCCTGGGTTATGAATGTCTGACGTATGTACAAACCCGTAATTATGAACCAACTACTGTAAAACCTATTACATTAAAAATTTGAGGTACATACAATTGTTGGTAATAACAAATGGTGCTACTTTGCAACATGCATGAACATATTATTATTACTGTATCATTATGTTAGTTACGTTTCAGTGTATCTGGAAGTGTTTCTTTAATGTTTTTTATGCATAGAGAGGTAAAGTATATGTTATATACTAAGACTCTGGTAGCATAGTGCCTAAGGCCTTTGACTGCTAACCAGAAGGCTGGCAGTTCAAACCCACCAGCCACTCCTAGGAAGGAAAGTTGGGCAATCTACTTTCCTAGTGATACCGCCTTGGAAACCCAAGGAGGGGTCACTATGAGTCGTCGGACAGGCACATAACAACAAAACAAACATTTAACTAACTGTTAGATACAAACTATACCTAATTGTTTCAGTTTACATACAAATTTGACTTAAAGACAGACTTAGGAATGGAACTCGCTTGTAAACTGGGCACTGTCTGTTTATGAATATATATTTGTATGAATGTAAATATATATGTTGTTGCTGTTGTTATGTGCCATCGAGTCACACCTGACTCATAACGACCCCTCTTTGGGTTTCCGAGGTAGTATCACTATGGAAGTAGATTGCCCAACCTTCCTTCCGAGGAGTTGCTGGTGGGTTTGAACTACCAGCCTTCTGGTTAGCAGTCAAGTGCCTTAGGCACTATGCTACTAGAGCTCCTATAAATATATATAGTGTTAGACTAATAATTTTAATAAATAATAAAATAAGATTATTACTTCAGGAAAAAAAAAAACCTTAAAGAAGAATCTAATCTTTCTGCTGCTGCTAAGATCTGAAAATATCTTTGAGACCCTCATTTAATTTTTAGACTTTTATTGTGGCTTATCATTTTATTTCAAACTGGTCCTTTGATTGACCTTAGCAGCCTGGGCATAGATAACCACTGAATGGCACCTGAGGCAGCTCCTTACAAGCCATGACAATGATTCCAGTCAGGATCACCAAACCATTTCAGAAGATGTTGTTTGACAAAATTAATTCTCAAATGGAAGCTTGTCAGTATTCATAGAATTAATATTGATCAGACAGTTTTAATACTCTGCTGAAAGTGAGGATGACTTAAGGAACCTACTGATGAAGGTTGAAGAATACAGTCTGCAGTATGGATTACATCTCAACATAAAGAAAACAAAAATCCTCACAACTGGACCAATGAGCAGCATCAC